AGGTGGAGCCCCTGGACCCGCCGGCAGGCTCCTGCCCAGGGGAGCGTGTCTACGTGGAAGGCTACGAGAGCGGGCAGCCTGACGACGAGCTCAAACCCAAGAAGAGAGTCTTCGAGAAGTTGCAGGTAAGAGGGGGAAGCTTCTTGCCCACGATGGGACTGGCTGCTGCTGGGGACAGGGCCCATCTCTACAGTCAGAGCCCTGTCTGCTCTGGCACCCAGGCAGCCTACACCAGCCCTGTCACGGCTTCAGGCTCTCAAAGTGCTCTATGGCCCCTGCGTGAGATGGAGATGTCGCCCCTCTTTCCAGGTGGGGAGACTGAGGCACACTGCGTGAAAGTGACGCACGTGAGGTCACACAGAGGGCAGAGCAGAGCCTAGAACTGGAATTTCCAGTCCTGTGCTCGATCCCCCCTGCCTGGGAAGTAGATGAACACAGCTGGCACAACACTGGCTAGCCAGGCATCTGCCAGCTGTCAGTTAACTGGCAGTGGGGCTGGGGTGATTGTACTCCCTGGGTAGGCCAAGAAGGCAGCTATTGGCAGAGACCTGTTTAGACCCAGTGGGGTCTTGTTACCTAGCAGCTGGCAGGCTGTCGCCACTTAAGGGCAGTGTCCAGTGGTCAGAGAGGGCGAGTGGAAGTCAGGACTCCTGGGTTCTGTTTTCTGCTCTGCCACTTACTTGCTGCATGGCTTTGGGCAAGTCACATTCCTGCTGTGTACCTCAGTTTCCCCAATGTAAAATGAGGAGCGGGATATCTTGTAGGGAGGTTAGGAGGCTACTCACATTGCTTGGAAAGCACTCGGGGATCATCTGGTGAAAACAGCGATAGAGCAGTGTTACAGCAGGGTCTGCCTGTGCCCCCACTTTGCTTCACCATTGGTGCCTATAGTGAGGGTTAAGGGCCCCCTTTGCCCTTAATGTGAGTTACATGGCAGCATTCCCTGTTAGACCTTTAGCTGGCACGCCTTCCTGGGGCCTGGCAGGAGCAGTGTGCCTGCGCCCAGGGATTTGGGAGGTGGTGAGGGCCTCAAACAAGGATACCTAGCCCTACGGCCATGTGCTGCAGGTGTGATTGGGGTGAACAGGCATTGGCTAGCCAGTCTGACACGTCACCCCACCTGCCTCTCCCCAGGCTGACTTCCGGATCTCGGAGGACTTTGTCGCCCAGTGGAAGCAGAAGAATTTCACGACCAGGCTGGGGAATGTCTCGTGTAAAACACTGAAGGGCGGGAACATCAGTTAACAAGTGCCAGCCCGTCCACCTTGTCCTCTCCTCACCTGTTGCCATCCACTGCTCCATTTTGGGTTCTGTTCCCCCAACCTCCACCACGATCGCCGCAGGGCCACACTCACCCCACTGCAGCATGCCTCTAAGTGAGGGAGATTCAGCCCAAAGCACCTGGGGCTCGAGGCTGAATGTGCGAAATGCGGTAGATGGTACACACCTTGCAACTGACCTTGGGCAGGTTTGGTGGAGAACCCGCCTCCAGAAGCAGCCTGTTTCCCTTCGAGCTGCCGTTGACCTGTTCCCACCCAGCTGATCTCTGGAGAAGGCCAAGCATGACTCAGGGGGACCATGTAGCTCCTGAGCCCCCAGCAGGAGCGAGGACTGCAACCCATTGTCTGTTTCCCTTGTGAGTCCTCCTACGTGCGGCTCTCCTAAAGTGTCCGAAGCCGGGGTGAAGTTGTGATTTGTACCAGTACAGGCTGTCACCTATTTCCCCTGACTTTCTGTGGGTGGATTCCAGCGGCTTTGAAGGTTGCACTCGAGTCGGCTGGAAGCTGCCGCTGTTGGAAAGCTCTGCTCATTTTAAATGCAAGTATTTCAGGGAAGAATGGCCGTTCAAACCTGTGTCGTTCGTAACAGGGGAAGAGGGACTGCATGACATTCTGTGTAAAGACAGTCACCCTACATCTGCCTCAGCCCCCCCATGCGCTCTGTGAGGGGCTTGAACTGCGAAGCTGGGGGGGCTGGGCCTGTGGAGGGCACGCAAGGCTCTCCAGACACTCACGGCTGCTCTGCAAGCCCAGGGACAGGCTCATGGAGCTCAGCCCATGGAGCTGCAGGTGTTGAATATGAAATCATCCCTCGTTGTTAAAAACCCCAATAAAGTGTGAAACTGACCGAGGCGTGTGTGATGGGGGATGGGACTGTCTTGCTGGAGCCAACAGCCAGATCTTAGAATGTGCGGGCAGGATTAACTGCGCTGAGCACCCCTGCCAGCCTTACTCCGGAGTGTAGAGCTGGGTGAAGGTGCCAGGCCAGGAAGGGGCCTGCATCTAGGAGCAGGAGGGGAGTTCTAGCCACTTCTTTCCCTCTGCTGAGCCATAGCCTACCTGCAGCTGCAAGGCAGATGTTGCCAGCTGGGCTGGTGTCTTAGTGCTGTAGACACCTGTCCTGTAGCACTCACTGACCTTCCCCAGGCTCCCCTCCCCTGGTACTACCTTTCAGGCCTAGAGCCTGTTACTGAGCCCTGAGTGGATTTGTTTGTTTGCCTGTGGAGATGCTAGAGCCTTTATCAGCAGTAGAGGCTGCTCCTTCTTTCGCATGGTCACAGCGGCATGACAACCGTTGGATCTTAAGGTCTCTTACCCAGTGCAGAGCAGAAGGGGTAGCCATGTGAATGGCTGCAACACCTCCAGAATGAGCATGGAGTGGGCAATTTGTCCATCTGTGAACAGGTTTCAGCAGTGAGAGGGTTAACCCCTTGGACAGCTGGGAGGGGCAAGGCAGTTGTCTCCTGCCAGCTGGTGAGGTTAAACATCCCTCTGATCTCTCTCTGGGTTTACACTGCCACCCTGCAGTGGGGTATCTGGGCTCCTTCCATGTAAAAGCAATAGCTGAGGCCCTAGTGGACTCCAGCGACGTTCTGGCACTTCTCCCTCTCCCTCGGTAGGGTGAAAAACTAAACAGCTTGTGTCTATCTGGGTGACTCATCTGTTCCAGGCTTTGGGGGGGAGTTGTGTAAATAGGGGGCCTCACTGTTATCACTCCAGCCATCCTGGAGGAGGGAAACCCCCAGCTGTTAACCAAGAAGCAAAGGAGACAGCCAGTTTCAATCATCATCTTTAACCAAAGACACAGAGCTTGTAACGGTTACTCTGCATCTTCTCAAGGCAGATGGTTTTTACAATCAAGGAAATCAAAGCATGACCCCACGTTTAAAGAAATAGAAATCAAGGTGCCTGGCTCTAGGGACCAGGGATGAATGTAAAACTCAGGCTTTTGGTCTCATTTAATGCTGTATCCAGTGTCATTCCCTGCTACAGGGCATCTGAAAAGCGTCTCACCTCTCCTCCTTCCCACGGGCTGTCTGTGTACACACAGGGCCTGGCTGGGATGAGGGCACAGCTCTGAAATTACAGAGCATGAGGGGAGTGAAATCTCTCAGGGTGGAGGTTATGGAGCTTGGAGCGACCCCTATGGCCTGGCCTCAGAGTCCAGATTCTCCTCCCTGGGATCCAGAAGGCTGGCAAGGTGGGGGGAAGCCCTTCCTCCTGTCCCAGACAGGTCCTGGCTGGTTGCAGCTCAAGGGTAAGCACAGGCAGTGACTGATTCCTCCCCTGCACTTCCTGCCTAGCACCCCGGACTCACAGGGCAGCAGCTTGGGGCTTGTGCTTTCAAACAGGCCAAAGAAAAAGGGGCTGAACGCTCACCTCAGGGACCACTTGTGGCTAATAGCCACTTTGCTGGGCCCTGAGGCAGGGGCACTGCAGGCTGCCGGCCCGATTAACCGCTTGCTTGGCTGCTAGGTGGCTGTAAATCCCTTTCCAGCTCCTCAGCCAGTAACACTGTAGCTTGGGCCTCAGCAGCATGTAACATGAGGCAGTGTGAGCCTGACTTGTTCAGCACCCTCAGGACTGGCTGAGGGATCCTCTTAAGCCCTGCTTCTCCCTGCCCTCAAAAAGAACTTCCCAAGGAGTCCTTGCTGGCCTGCCCCCTCCCCCGTTCTCAGAGCCCAGCACCACCAAGGGACTGCCCTGCCAGAAGAGCCCGTCAGGCAGGGCCCCCCCATAACACACTAGGGTCCAAGTACTGCCTTCGGGTAGCTCCCTTACCCAGCTGCATGGGGGGCAGGGGGAGGCTTGTCTGGCAGGGGGCAGTCCCTTGTGGTGCTTACGCACTACCACGGGCCCCAGGGAATGAACGTCTCCCCTGCCAGAGCAGTAGAGGTGGGGAGCCCCCACTCCCGAGCACAGGCGGCCTGGCTCACGCAGTGCTTCCCCTCTGGCACCGTGGCCTCGCCTGCCCACTGTCCTGTAACAGCCCTAGAGAGAGATGGGACAGCAGGCAGCCTGACGCAGGAGGGGGCTTGGCCTGGGCTACCTGGCTTGTCTGCTGTAACAGCTCTGAGGTCTTTAGCAGCCTGGGCCCCATTTCCCCTCCACTCGCAGCCAGGACCTATTCAGCACAGACTCACCCCCCTGCACATTGTCACTGAAGTGGTCCTTGAGCCCGGGGCGGGCACCCAGCAAGACAGAGGCCTTGACTGCACCTAGGCCAAGCTGCTGCCAGCCTCCACGTGCCTCAGGCCTGGTGCTGTGCCTTTCCAAAGCCAGTCAGGGGCAAATCTAGCACTACACGGTGCATGTCCTGGAACACGAGAGAAGAGCCCTTGCAGCAAAGCCGGCAGAGGAACTCCTTGGCCAGCCAGCCATGCGTCAGCCATCAAGTCCATAGCATTCGGAACGCGCCTTCAGCTTCTTTTTAAGAAGTGCTTTGATTTTGTGCCGTCTCAGGTGCACAGAATAGAGCCGATCCTCCGCGCCGTGGAAAAACAAGCCCACAGCCAGGCCTCCTCCCCGCCCATGCTGCCCCCTATCCCGGCCAAGAGGCCGTGCTTCAGGTGGTGCAGCGTGGTCTTATAAAAACACCGCCCCACATTCCTCGCAGCGGCTTCTCTGCAGCCTTCCCTCCTGCACAAACACAACCGGCAAATCCAACAGGTGAAGGGCGAGGTGCCGGACTTCAGGACTGGGCTTCGGTTTTTTTTTGTTTTGTTTTTTTTAAATGCAAAATAAAGCTGTATTATTGAAGAAAGTGAAACCAACACCAGTTTTTGCATAAATATCATCAAGGCCATCAGAGGCTAAGGCTGTTTGCTTCCTTTTACTCAGTCAGTCGTGCCAGCTCCACGCTCATCCTTTCACCTGCTCAGGTCCCTGAGAGAGATTTGTATTCCTGTAGGTCGGGGCACGAGCACGCAGCTTCATCCTTCAGGCTGTCTCTTCCCGTTTGTCTGCAGGAAAAGGAGAGCGATTCCCGTTAGATTATCCTGAGCCCAGCACGGTAATAGCTGACCCACCAGGCAGTGCGCGTTACAGGCACCCCTCTGGCTGAGCCTGTTACAGAGCTGGGGGCTCTCGCCCATGCTGGTAGCTCTGGAAGCCCCTGGTTCGATCTTGGTGTCAGCCATCACCTGACACTCACTGCTGGTTTCTAAAGCTGTAGAGCCTGAACGGATTCAGCCTGGGCTTGTGCAAACCCCCCAGCCATGGTTTAATGCCCCAAGAGGCGGAGTTACCTCCCAGCACATCAGCCTGTTTCCGAGCAGCTTTGAGCCAGGTTGTTTCTGGACCGACTGGTGTTTAGACAGAGGGATGGGGTCAAACTAGGCCAAACAGCCAGCGCTAGTGGGGATCCTAACAGGGCTACGTTTGTTCCTCGTCTCCCTTTGATTCAGGCATCAGGAGACAGGTCAGAGTCACAATTCTCCCCACCATCCCCGCCTAGCACTAAGCTGTTCTTTAGAGGGTTCCGTCATCATCCTCTGTCTTCTAGCCCTGTTCCCGCCGGTAGAGACAGGGCCGGTGTTTCCACTAGGCGACCAGAGGCGGTCGCCTAGGGCGGCAGGATTTGGGGGGCGGCATTTTGCCGCCCTCGGCGGAAATTCGGCGGCGGGGGGTCCTTCCACTCCGGATCTTTGGCGGAAATTCGGCGGCGGGTCCTTCACTCGCTCCAGGACCCGCCACTGAAGTGCCCCGAAGACGCGGAGCAGAAGGACCCCCGCCGCCGAAGACCCCAGGCCCCCTGAATGCTCAGAGGAGCAGCGCTGCCGCCTAGGGCGGCAAAAACCCTGGCGCCACTCCTGGGTAGAGACAGGGTGAGGGCGGGGGGGCTGCAGGTCAGGATTGGGGTGCATTGGCAGAGCTGCAAGT